CCACTGCTTAATACCTCTGATGTGGTCTGCTAAATCTGGTGCATTATTCCAAGGTTGTGCTTGAGAGTGGCATTAAGAGGAATGCATCGAACACAAACGGATATTTTATTTTTCCAGATGCTGAGAAACTGCAGGCCTCAGACCGTTTGTGAAGGTTTATGCTCCTTTCAGTCATTCCATAATTCTTTACTACATGTTTACAGATGCATCACGTAATGATGCCCTCTATTCTACAAGTCCAGTAATCGTCGATTGGATTTGACATGAGTCAAAATGTTCATCAAGCTGTTTTGTACAGCTTATCTTGATTAGCACCCAGAGAAATATGATCAGCGCTCTTCTGCTGCATTCCAATCACAGTACTTAGTAACATGTGCCGGAATGGTTGGCTTTTCCACATGGATTACGTCAAGGCATGGTCAGGGCACGAATCTGACCATTAGCACTGAAGTTTGAAGAAAAGGGAAAGCTAGTACAGATATTATGCAGGGCACCAAAAAAAGCTTCCACATACGGCGGAATAGCTTTTAAAAATAAACAGATCCTCTACAGTGATTTTTATATCTCAAATTAATACGGACATTCAGTATTAAAGCATATCCGCTGTTGCATCAGCTTTAATAAGGTGTTTGCGTTTAGGATAACCACCAACTTTACTGTTTGAAAATAATTATCCGCCAAATGTTGCTGCGTCTCAGATCCCAAGTTAGTCTTCCAAGAGTTTCATGCACATCTCCAAATTCACTTCCTTGTCCGTTTTCTCACCGATTGTCAGAAAGCAGAAGGCACGACAGCACTTGTGGAAGAAATCACTAACGACATTCGCATTCATTTGAGATGGCTTGGTGGTCAGTTGGCATCGAGGAGAATGTAGGGGGATGCCACCCCAATTAATGTCCACCACTGCTAGAATTGGCTGCGAGTGAGAAAACAGACTAGGTGACACAATGAGCCGTACTGGTACAACTACACCATAGCTGCGTAAAGGAATGAAAAGTCAATGCTTAAATCTTCGGGATAATTGTTGCATTTTTAATCAAAAGACCAGGATTTAACGTGAACCACTTCGTCTATGCTGTAAAAATTCGACAAAAGCATTGGTGAAAGTCGTATCACCTTCGATGTTTCCTTCTGACTCTCGGAAGTAACCGATATTAAAAATCACAAAATGTCTCAGCTTATCTCAGTTTTGAGTATATTTTGAGTATATTTGCTACAGAAGCCTCGATGCCTCAGCCAATCTTATCATTTAGCGT